CGTCTGCTAAATGACTATATATAAATGTAAATATATATATATATATATATATATATACAGTATATATCGACTCATCTGGGACTGCCACAATGAATATGCTGCTAACATAATATGATGTCTGAAAAAGTTTTTTAGGTAGGCAGCTCACTGGGTTTTGAAGTCAATTTACAGGAAAACTAAACCTGTAAACATTGTTATCATGTATGAACATGTGGACTATCATCTCTATGAGTATAAATCATCTGCAATTTTATAATGTGACTCAGAATTTAGTTAAAAAACCTACACTGATAAGAAATTTGATCCCATAGTAGCAATAAATGTGCAAGACATGCAGTATATGAAAATGGAGAGAGCAGAAGTACAGTAAGTACAGTCACACGTGTTTACCTTGGAGTTCTTCCCTGCGGGGCGGGTGGTGTGAAGCGACTGGCTGTAGGTGCGCTGGACGGCCTGTTCCGGGGTGGAGGGGGATTTATCGGAGGAATGATCGGAGCTCTTTTCCACCATGTTCTCTCCCTCTGGACTCTGGGGCGTTGGGGAGCGCGAGCGTTTACGCAGGACAGGTGAGCAGGCCGGCGAGCTGCGGTTCGAGTTACTGGCAGTGCTACAGAAACAAGACAAATATCCAGTAAAAAACAGATTCTACACTTCAAAAGGAATACAAATGTTTGTTGGACGATGGCCGGACAGTTAGCACACGACTTCCAGACACACTGATCTGTGGTGCTCATGTGGGAGATGGTTCAAGTTTTCTTTAAACCAGCAAAAGGCTTAATAAACATACTAATAATAAGCCATGAACTCATTTTAAAAACAACAGAAGTCAACCACCAAACACACATTTTCCCTGCAGGCCACTCATTGGCCTTTCACCTCTGCCCTGTCAGCTTCTAGGAATGTATTCAGACAGACATCTCACAACTCTGACCAAAAACACAGCAGTGGGGGTCACATCAAAACCCGCTACAGTTCTGCTGGGAATTTCCACATCACTGACATCATCATATTATCTTTAGAAGAAATTATGAATGTAAATTCAAAAGGTGCTTTTAGATCAGAGAAACAAGATTGGTCAAAACACAGGAACTAAACATCTGATGATCTTTATAAAGCACAAAACTGAGAATGTAAAAAACAAGGAAGGAAGAAAGAAAAAATGAAATGAAACAGAGAGCAATAAGAGACCTTTCCTTTAGTCTCCTCCTCTTTCTCATATTTTTCTCCTGAGACAAATATAATATCCAACAAGTTCTCAATGTAGGCTTAGATTTTTCAATCAATTCAATCAAAAATCTCAATACGAACTCAAATATATCTCTCTAAATTTTCCAGTACCAAATGAACTGAGTTATACTTTTGTATTGCCTCATTTTATTTCTCCAAAGAGCTTTCAGGAGAAACATCTCAGGCAAAGTTGATACTTAAAATAAAGCATAACTGAGAACTCCATTAATTCTTCTAGGCTAATGAAGAGTAACCTCTAGACATTAAAGTCGTCTTCTGGGAAGAACCATCAGAATGACACTCACTGGCTGACCTCAAACTCACAGAATCTCTCAATCAGACTATTTGCTTACAAAGGTCAAGATCATGTTAATAATACAGAAAATGAAAAGCTTTTTTTTCAATCAGAAGGGGAAGCACTTCATCTATCTCTGTCTCAATCTCTCTATGCAGCAATCCTCCATCTTCCTGCTGTCAGCCCTTCATCTGTCCCTCAGAAAGGGCACCAATCTTAATTATTAATGTTCGGTACCTGAGCTAAGAGCTGCCCGTCTGGAAAAACAAACACAGTGTGACAAAAGAGAGATAAAGGGAGAGAGAGAGAGAGAGAGAGAAAGAGAGAAAATACAGCAACTCATAAAACACCTCACAATCTCTCTGGGTTCATATCAACCTAATGCACTTGTGCACTCAGGCAGCCGTTCCCTCCCAGAACACACATCCACGTGTTGTACAAGGTTCTGACGGCGAATAAATCATTGCAGATGAAATCACTTCACAGAAACAGTGGCATCAAATTACCGGTGCATAGATCTACATCTGTCATGCTGTCAAAAATCTGTTAGATCAGCTGCTTAAATATTTTCTTGTACATCATCGGATTTCATATACAAAGTGAGGATGGGAAGCACAGTTCTATGGAATAAAATCGCTGTCAAAAATAATCGTACGTAATTCAAAGCATTTGTGTGTCATTTTAATTTACTCGTGCGTAATTTAAAAGTATTGTATGTAATTCTGTTTTTTGTCAGAGTTGGATTATCTGTAAACTGTCGTGGCCGTAGATTTTGGAATCCAATTCTGACAAAAAACAGAATTACATACAATACTTTTAAATTACGCACGAGTAAATTAAAATGACACACAAATGCTTTGAATTACGTACGATTATTTTTGACAGCGATTTTATTCCATACAGTTCTGGTAAATTAACTGCTAAGCTGATTTTAAATTCTGTAATATTTTGTCTAAATAAGTATTCTAAATACTAAAATAAATCATTTTAAATGCCATTAGTGAATTTAGGCATCACAACTTTTATAATGTACAGTATGAAAACTGATCTAAAATGTAAAAACATAAAAACAACCATGCAGAATTAAATATTCAATACTGACTGATAAATTACTGATATATTTAAAAATAAATTGTAAAAAAATAAATAAAAATTGTGCACCCCTACATACTGCCATGTTACTCACCAAAATTATTATAGTTAACTAAAAATAAAACCATAAAAAAAAAACATTTTCATTACCTGAAATAAAAGAAATGTTAACTATAATAATATATATATATTTTTGAAAAAAAAAACATATTTTAGCTAGTTGGCAAGGCGACATTTCTCATTTTCCTTCAGTTTAACTAAACTAAAATAATGTTATAGACATTTAAATAATTATATATACATTTAAAATTTTTAAAATGACAAAAACACCACACAATTACTAAAATTAAAATGAAAATCTTCATCCCAATTACAGTGCATTACAAGGAATATCATCATTTTATAATTCTCTGGACATTGAATATTCTTTTGTACTCTTCTTCATCTTTTCTTTTTTTATTTTATTATTATGTATTAAGTATTCCTCTTACAAGTCTGAGCTATGTGTGTACCCTTTTCTTGATGGTTCCTTGTTATATTTGTGCTATAATCACAATTCAATAAACATAATTATACAAAAATAAAAATATGTAAATAAAAACTCAAATTCAAAATATTAACAAAAAACTATAATAGTGTCTCAATGATACTAAAATAAAACTGCTACCCACTAGTTGTGCACTACATAGTACATATATTGTGCAAAGTGTGTGAATTATTTAAAAAAAATGTCTACAGTACATACCGCACAGATTCCAATAAGCAGTTAGCTCGTAATCCATTCAAAACATGTCTTCTATAAAAGCTTTGTCCATCATGTCCAGCACCTGATGCTAGTGATAAAATGTCTTTATCTAACATCCAATAGAAAAAAGCAGTTATTGTGGGTGGCCGTATGGTTCTCCTCACCTCTCACCTGTCATAGCGGCGCTCATAAGGGACCTAATGACAGGCCACAGAGGTGTATTCACATGTGTATGTGTGAATGCAGTTTTCACATTTGTGCTTAAATGTTGAGACCAAAAAACCAACACGCATGGTCTAAGACATTTTCTCAAACCACCAGTCGGAGGATACGTCTCTCTCACGCTAGCCTACATCACAGAGAGCAAAAAGCAGTGATAAACATCTTTCTCACACTCGTTGAAGTGGGGAAAACACTCCTATGTGATGCAAAAAAAAATAAAAAATGCTTGCAACATGCAGAAAATGTGATGCATTGCTCTGATCAAATGACGCATATCAGATACTCTTCTAAAAACATCCAATTCATCCAATTCCAAGAAGAACTGCTTAGATGGGTTTAAAGATGCTGGTAACATCAAAGAAATTACTCAATTAAATATTGCAAGGTGGCAAAAGCATCTGTGATAACTAAAATACTGGAAATTGTCGCTAATGGACATGTCAAGTGCGACTGCCCATCATGCAAATGCAAAAACAATGACTTCCCTTCATGATTTTCATGCAAAAATCACACATAGACAAACCTGGTGGCCATGAGGGGCTACATGAAAGCGTTGGGCTCTGCTTCATTCATTCAGTGCGGCTGCAGTGTGGGGATGGAGTGATGTGACGAGAGAGGAGGAAAAGAGGAGGCGGAGCATATCATCTCTGAGTCCAGCATCCCTGTTTTTTCAAGCAAGCATTCTCATTTTCTCGCTTTTCCGCATGGCCGTTTCCTCTGCTGTCCTGTTAGTCGCTCGCTATCGTTCTGTCAGGGTCAGCGGGAGCAGGAGGACGGTGAGCTGGCGTGAAAAACGGCTCCTATGCGGCGCAGTGTGGCGGCTGGGGTTGATTTAATATTCATGGGTTTCTTGAATGAAGCCACTCACGTCAGCAGCCTGAACAACAAGCCAGTCTCTGGCTCTCTACCCCTCCCCCTGTCCAATCACACCACTCCCCTCTCTCACTCTTACTCGCTCGCTGACTCTGTCCGCTCCTGTGATGCATATGCCAGCAAATCCTGCACGCATACATTTTGGACTGTATAACTTGTATTGTAACCAATATTACTATTGCATATTGCATATGTGTGAATGATGCCTCAAATATTCAGTGTTGTTGAAGAGCAATGTGCTATTATTTTTCTTAACAATGAGACTTACAATTTTTTTGGTGGATGATAAAAGAGGCAAAAATATGAATTCCTGTGATAACAAAGCTGAATTATCAGCATCATTACTCCAGTCTTCATTGTCACATGATCCTTCAGAAATCATTTTAATACGCTGATTTGGTGTTCAGTTATTAGGGGCCAAGAACCGAAGGTGCGATGGCAACTATTGTATCCGTTGGTGTTCTTCTTCTTCTTCTTCTCTGGGAGTCAATGGCAGCCCATAGAACCACTTGTGGGAAAGTTATGAAATTTGGCACGCAAATAGAGGACAGTCTCAACATTAACCATAGCAAGTTTGGAGTCTTGAACTCAAAACCTCTAGCACCACTAACTAGTTCAAATTTGCATATATGTTTATGCTAATAACTTTTGAACTGCAGAGTTTAGAAGCAAAATTCTTTTTTCCTCAGATTCCTTGGCTCATGCAAAGTTGAATGCACACCAAAATGTTAAATTCTACAGGTCAAGATTTTTCGCAATTTTTAATAGTTTAAAAAACCTACTTTTTCAAACTCGTCCTAGACGGTTTGTCTGATTTTCACCAAAATTGGCTCAGATCTTCTTCAGACCACGCTGGCTAGAAACTATGGAATTCAAGTAGATTAGTCAAACCGTTCTTGAATAATGTGCGAACGAATCTGATGAAGAGTATGCCAAAATGGACATGAGGCTTTATCTGCACAGCGCTTTAGCGTATTGAGACCAAACTTGGTGTGTGTTATAAGAACCACGACCTGAGGCTACCCGGACAGTTTCGGAGGAGATATGAAAAATTGCTATTTTTGCTTATAACTTCTGAATGGTTTGGAAAAAAACTGGTTTCTTAAGATTCAGTGCAGCATGCTGAGTTCAACCATACCCAACAATTTCCCATGTCAGCCATTTTGGGCATTGGCCATTTTGAATTTTGTCATAAAATACTATATTTTATAAATGCATTGGCATATCATTACAAAACTCAGTATGTGTCTTTGGCACCATGCCCTGGCTGATGGCACTCCAAAGGTTTTGGGGCAGCACCACCTTGTGGTTATAATGAAGTTATAATGAAATTTCAAAAAATGCTAATAACTTTTGAGTATATTAGCCTGTAATGAAACTGCTCTCAATATATTCCTTGGGTCATACCGAGAATATAGATACCAATTTTGCCATAGTCGGCCAAACCTACTTTAAAGACTACTTTTTTGAACTCCTCCTAGACCGTTTGTCTGATTTTCACCAAATTTGACTCAGATCATCTTCAGACTGCTGACAAAAAGTTATGGATTTCATGTCCATAGACAAAACTGTTTCTGTATAGTGCTGCAACAAATTTAAGGCATGATGCCAAAATGACTCTAAATGGCTAAATGGCTGTATCTCTGCAAAGCTTTGACATATTGACACCAAACTGGCCCTTGTCCCAAATGGAACACTTCATGTGCACTTGCGGTCTTACGGACTTACAATGGCCGCCGCGTGCGCATCTCCGTTATGTCCACGAGATCGTAGGGTGTCCTATTTGTCATTTTAGCGTTCAGAAGGGTGCTCGCGAGCGCCCCCTTTGCGGCCGTTATGCACCCTCAATCCGCACTTCTGCCGAGCCCGCACTGGGGCGAGCTCCGCATTAGACTTCTACCCGACAGTCAAAGCGGTATTACGTCATGAAAGTGCGGACTCAGAGGAAGACCGCGAAGGTTTAGGGTGTCATTTGGGACAGGGCCACTGTGTGTGCCATTGTCAACTCACACTGACCATGCCACATCAATTTAATAACGGTGCCACCTATTGGTAAAAAGTGATAAACCAGTATTACTAGTGATTATATATATGATTTTTCAGCCATTTTGATTAAATCATCCTCAAATGGCTTTAATTACTCATTGTTGCAGTTGGTCTGATGCTCCATGCCATGCTTAGCTCCTCATTTTGCTTCTGTTGTGCTTGACCCCTTAATTGCTGCTTGCAGCTTTATTTTTCAATTATAACTGGTGCTCAATTATTAATAATGGTTCTGACTATTATAAATGCTAAAAACTGTTTTTTTTTTTCTATTATTATTTTTGTTGTTTTGTGGAAACCATGATACATTTTTTCAGGATTCTTTGAGAAATATAAACTTGAAAACAGCATTAATTTGAAATAAAAATCTTTTGCTAAATTTTAAGCAGCACAAACGGTTTTCAACATTGATAATAATAAATGTTTCTTTAGCAAAAATTATTTGTGTTTTCTGTAGGATTTCTGTAGGATCATGTGACACTAAAGACTGGAGTAATGATGCTGAAAATTCAGCTTTGCACCACAGGAATAAATTACATTTCAAAATACAGTAGGGCCTATCTTAAAATAGAAAGCAGTTCTTTTAAATTGCAATAATATTTCATAATATTACTATTTATTTTTTACTGTATTTTTGTTCAAATAAATGCAGCCTTGGTGAGACTTATGAACATTAAAAAATCTTAATTATTCTAAAAATGTGACTGGAAGTATACGTATATTAGACCAGAGTCAGATCAAAATCAGAACAGATTAGGTAATGATTAGAGGAGAGTCTAATCAGATCAAAAAGGTCTGTTTAAACTGTCATCTGTTCAGTTTAGGGTCTAAAAAAATTGCATCAGATCATGATTCAGTTATATTACTCAAATCAGCTCAATGTCAGATGAGATCAAAATTAAATCAGATCAGAATCAGATCAGTTGTATACAACTATAGTACATTAAATTAGGGTCGTATCACAGAGATCAAATTTGGGTCACATAAGATTGTAATCATAATTCAAGAATAATCAGATGATTCACTATCACAACATCACAGAAACATAGAGACAGGAATAAGACAATAAAAATAACAAAAGATCAAATCAAACCATGAATGTGTGAATCAAATCAAACTAGTCTGATCTACACTGAATCAGAGAGAGAGAGAGAGAGAGAAAGAGAGAGAGACAGCGCATTTCTGCTTAAAATAGGCCTGTAATCTGCTCAATGCTTTTTAACTCACTGCACTAAGTCTGTGCTACTACAACAAATCACCCCATAGAATTAACACAAACATAACTGGAACAAACAGCCCATCTTTACTATAATAAAAGCTTTAGAACAAACAGTAGCCTATGTATACTGTGAAAAGCATGCAAAATTTTGTATGCATAGAATACCCAGCTCACCTACTACTGTACAATTGCCAACATGTACAGTATACATCAGAGCACACTGCTTGGAATGGCATATCCCACAACGCAATTCACTTGACCTCTATTTTCCATGAGACAACTGAACCATAAGGAATCAATCATAATAAAAATATCTTTCTTGTCTTATTATTTAATCCAACTGCAAAAAGACATCTTTTAAGGTGCTGTATGTAATTTTTTGACTGTACTAAAGCATAAAAATACCTTAACGTGTTTGCAGATATTTAGGAAACATGCCAAGTTCACATACTTGCTTTTCCGAAAAACAATACTACAGACAGTTATTCTACTTTGAAATGTGCAATCCATGTCAGAATGTCTGTTTTTGTTTTGGTTTTTATGATTCCGCCCACTGCCAGTTTACCCAATTGGGTTCAGACATCCCCGGTTGCCAATTGGTGGAAAACACAGCGTATTGCAGCCATGGAAGCTTTCAAACGAACTGGGTCAGAGATCACAGATTCTACCCAACCTAAAAAGCCTCGGGAACCGTTTAAAAAGTCATTACATTACATTGTAAAGCTCGTCACCTTCCATTGTCAGTTGTGCTCGTTCCTGTTGTGTGTCCTCAATCTGGCAACCCACATGAACCTCGAGTCTGAGGAAGAGGGGGCGGGGATGAGAGAAACAACTATCTCCAATATTTTGAATTTGGACTGCGGTACCCTTTTTAACCACTAGCTGTCAATATTACATAATGCACTTTTAACTATTGGACACCATACAGTCAGATCATCTGTCAAGTAATGTAGCCACCATCAGATATGTTTATCATTCCATACTACATACACACACAGTAATTTTTTAACAGTATGCAGTCTATACTGTGCAGTATAACTGAAACACTCTAACACACTAGCATTCTTCGACTGTGACAGACTGCACCAACAGGGAGCTGGTCATGTGACCACATCTGCCTTAGGAAGTACATCCTCTTTATACTGTATTCTACAAACAGACACTATAAATCTGGATTATCAAACAGGATTATTATTTTTTTTTTTTAAATCATATAAAAGTAAACAAAATGGCAAGAAAGAAGTAAATCTGCGATGTGTTTTCATGAGGGACTCATAATTGTATATCAACATGTCTCTTGGATTTCACTGCAGTAAACACACACAGACAAAGTGAGAGACCCGATCCAAGGACACACTCTGCAGTGCTCATTTAACAGCGCTAGGAGCACGAGTCCCACCGGAGGACACAGCAGCACACAGATGCTGAGACTGTCCACAGTTACCGCAGAGCGGCTAATGAGCAGAAATCTGTACAGATACGCCAATGAAGGGAAAAACGTACAAAAAATACCAAGGTATTCCCTGTTTTTGTAACATGTATTATTGTAATATATTGTCTCTTTTGACATGTACTATTGTAATTCCATGAAATGCACTGCAATACAATGAAAATACCATTGTATCTGCTGATTTTTAACGTAAGCGCAGGTGTAGCTATTTGCAACTGGCTTCCGGTGTCATCTGCTACCATTTATTTTAGCTGTACAAGACATCTCGTTTTACTGCTCGATATTGCAATCTGGTATTTCTTATCATATTGTTTTAATGTATTGTCATTATCATACACACATTGGTTTGCAGCACAAATAGTTTAACTGCTTACTGCACTCGTTATTCTTTTAGTTATTACTTACGGCGGCTAATGAATCAGAAGTCTTGCACATTCACAGAAAATAATTCCACATTGCAAAATAAGATGGACAGAATATAATTCAGTACCATAGTGTATATTAGAAAACCATG